GGATAGTGGAAGGTGTCCCTGCATGTGGCAGGGGGTGGAACGAGATGAGCTTTAAGGTCCCTTTGAACCCAAACCCTTCAGTGACTCTAAGCAGCTGAGGGGCTGCTGGGGTGGGCAGGTAGAGCAGTGGGGGTCAAATCCCACAGAGGTTCTGCGAGGAGGGAGCTGGAGCTTCAGAGTCCTCCTCCGGTCTTCCCTTGCGGAAGCCGAGCCGGGAGGAGCAGCATCTTCAGCTGCTGAGTTCCAAAACAGTGAGCTCACAGCCCGGCAGTGCCTCACGCCTGCGTGCACAGGGAGGAAATGTGGATGGCAGAGCTCAGAGGTGTGAAGCACAGGCAGGATTTTCCGTCCCGCAGCGGCCGCAGGGGCTCGCGGGCTTGCGCAGCTTCAGCGTTTTGGAAAAAAAGAACAGGTTTCCTAAACAAACGTAATCCTGGTAAATGAACCCAACCCTGAGGTCGTCTCGGGGGGCTGAGGTTCAGGTTTCCTTTATTACTGAGATCCTGTTCTGGAAATTACGGGGCTCACTGACACAAATCTTGACTCCAGTGGGAAGGTTTGCGGCTCGAAATGTTTTCTGTCTGGTTTTGGGGAGGAAAGAGCAGCGTGGAACGAGCACCAGTGACCATCCAGCTGTGGGATTGCTCCCAGGGTTGGTTCCCCACTCCATCCTCCCCATTTTGGCATTGGTATTGAAGCCATCAGTGCAGACCAGGTCTCCCAGGGTAATCCTGCAGCTCCCAGGGCTCTCCTGAACCTCCCAACTCCTGGAGAAAGGGTGCCCATGGTGTCACCCCCTCCACCCTCCACTTTCCTCCCTCCCCAGCAGAAATCTCCCTTCAGAGGGGCCGTGCACTCGCTGCAGCACCCAGACTCTCTCTTTCTGTCACTGCTTTCAGTGCCTGGGTGGATAAACCCCAGGTCTGTTTTCTGTAAAGCTGTTGATACTAAAAGGAATAGCTGGGGCAGTGTGGGCGTCGGGTGAGAACGGGCTTACTCATGCGGGGCGAGATTTTGTTGCTTTAGGTTTGAAAGCAAAATTTTGGGGCAGGTTTGGTCACGAGGCACTGTAAATAAATCGGCTGGAGAACAGTGGAGAGAACTGGGGGAATGCTGGGGGGCTGTGTGCTCCTGGGATCAGGTAAGGATGGAAGAGGCAGCAGGAAGGAATCTGGTTTTGGCTGGGGGAGATGAGGTTGATGCTGCACATCAGGGCAGGGGGGTTGGAACGAGTTGAGCCTTAAGGTCCCTTCCGACCCAAACAGTTCTGGGATTCTGTGGTTCTATCACCCTTGGGAAAAACACTCCAAGGGGAGCCAGGATAGAATATCTTTGATTAGGGTGCTGGCCTGGGACCTGTGGGAGATGATGGCCACGGCTCTTTGCAGGAGTCAGCTGTGGTGGGAGCAGAGCACGGAAACCTGGGGATGCACGACCTGCTGACTTCAAAGGAATATGTGAAAGGTTCACTGCAATATTTTTAATTTTCAGTAGCTAGCAGGAAAATAACCCCTCTCTCCTCACCCTTTATTTTTAGCAGCAAACTTCCTGCTGAGGGGAAAAAAAAAATATATTTTTCTCGCTATTGAGGCGATTTTGATCAAAAGCCTGGCCCTGCTCCAGGTCGATCATCGGTGTTTGCTGCTGCCGGAGAGATGAATCACGAAGGGCTCTGTTCTTAGTCTGTCAACACAAGAAAAGAGCTGCTGCTCTTGCAAGGATGGAGGTGAAGCCTGGATGGCTGACAGCCTGTCCTCTCCCCTTCCTCCAGAG